CTGATCACCTGTTCCACACATATGTACACGAATAATTAATGCAATACATTATTCATCACAAAGCATTTATATCGATGTATGTATGAACGGTTACCTCCACTCATAGTGTTTGTCAAGTTTTTGAATGGACTACGACCACCATTATTATTCAACTGGTCCATGGAAGACTGGTGTGGTAGGGAATACAACCACTTATTATTAAGTCGCTCTTTGTCACACTTAGCTTCGACGAAGCTTGTTGCTAATGATGATGCTTGAAAGACAGGGTGTTAGGGCAAACAATTATCTCTCTCACCATAGAAGTATGAAATACACAAAAATTCATGTAAATACGAAAAGGTAGGTGGTGTTCGCTAATCGCTACAACTTATACGGCTAAATCTCCCACTGCACTTCAATGTCCGGACCCTTCAGCGACGTTTGGGCTATTTGGGTTTAGGTTAAGCTTTTTTTTGTCATGGGACCCACAGCTTGTAATAAATACATAAAATTTAAAATAAAACGTCCTTATCTTCATCCTCTCCGGTCAGCTCTTTCGTCACCAATCGACAGATGCAGACGCATCTCTTTCCTCTGTCCTGCTCCGCCGGAGCACCAAGCAAGAAGCTTGCCTCCTCCGTCCTGCTTGCCGGAGCAGCAAGCAAGAAGCCTTGCTCTGTCGGCCTCGCGTGGGGCGTGCGACCTGCAGCGCCGGTGGCCCCTGTGGTGGCTTGGGTGTTCTCCTGCGGACGGAGCTCCGCGGCCTTCTCCGTGCGGCATGGCCTCCTAGACTTGGCGTGGCGCGGACAGAGGTAAGCGACCTTCTCCGCTCGGCGCGGCGCGGACAAAGCTCGGCGTGAGGGCCTTGGCACGGGACAGGCGCGGGTGGTGCAAAATCGAGGGAGATGAATCTAGACAGTTGTACGGTACATCATCACAGTCGAGTGCAGTCCTCGATCCATTGGAGCATCGCGCAGCTTCCTACTGCTCCTCGATAGCAGCGACTTCCTCAGCTCCGATCGGCAAGGAGGCACACAAAAATGGTACCATCCCAATCTTGTTTCATTTGGCATTTACCATCAATGGCACCAATGCTAACTTGCTATCTTGTTTCGATAAGTTTTTGGTGTATGACTCAGAAGTTGCTAACCGGATCTTGTAAGCATTCTAGGACAGCAACTGTCTTCTTAGACAAGACAGATTTGAGTGGCCGGGCTCGCCAGATTCGAGTGGCTAGTCTCAATTTGGTGTGGTTGGAGGGTGTTATTGAGGGGCAACTTCTTTTTGTTATTTCCTGAAACTAAGTTAGCAATCCTTTTGTGATTTCCTGGACAAGAATGCTTTATTGTAAAAAAAGGTTTTCCTGAAATTGCTGCTGTGATCTAAATATGTATGGCTGTTTTCCAGCTTACTTGCATTACCTAATAGCTGCAGCATCAAAACAGCCTAGAAGCACACAAAAATAAATGTAGTTGTCATTTTTTGTGCAGAGCTATGTACTCAGGTGCTCAACATAGCGGGCACTGCAGCGGTGACCGCAGCAACTCTTGATGCTCTGGGCTGCCATGTACAGCGTGTGCCAAAGAATTAGCAGCAGCGAGAACGAGCATGTGGTGCGTGGGAACCCATCATCGAGCGCCAAAAGGCGTCTGCCAGCGTGGATAGTGGCTCCACGTTCTACTCCGACCCCAACCTCAAATCCGCCTGCTTTGTCTTCCAGGTCACCCCATCTCCTCTATTGCCATTGTTATCTTGGCATTGATATTCCTGACTACACGATTCGCCCAACCAAATGTCTGTTGATTTGCTATTTTGTCAATGCGGAACTACTTTCATCCAATTTTTCCTTGATGGTTTGATTCAATTTTTGTATTTTCATTATCTCAACCATGGCCATTATGTCATTTATCTGAAATGCTTGAAGTATCCGTTTTCCTATATTGTCTTAGTCTAAAAGTTATTGAGAATGCTCATTATTTAGAGAAGTCAGGCAAGTTGCAGTTTTGCTGCAGTGGGATTCACCTACATTTCAGATAAATCATAAATGCCAATTTGTAACAGTTTGTCTATAGTCAGGCAAGTTGCAGTTTTGCTACGGCAGGATTCACCTACATTTGAAACAAATCATATATAACAATTTGTAACGGTTTGTCTATACATTTGGCGTGTCTGGTTGCAAAATCAATAATGAAAATGCATATTGCAAACTCATATGGACTTGGGGGTCTAGGCTGGAAATTGTTGGCACTCTCTTTAAGTTATTTGACTGTAAGAATATGTCTTGCAAAAAAAAGAGAGAAAATTCTTGTATCTTTATTTAATCTCTTTGGTTCACCAAATAAATTTTCTACGTGCAGATTCAAGTACAGGTTTTGCATTACAATGTTAATTTTCCAAAGATAGGTCGATAATACAACAAATAGAAACTACAAGACATTTAGTGACCTCTATATCTTAGCATTCTATATAGCAGGGGGGAAAGAAATTCTACAACTATACATAGCCTTGTAACATCAATGAAAATACAGCAAATAGAAACTATAAGACATTTGGTGACTTCTATATCTTAGCATAGCCTTGTAACATCAATGAAAAATTTCATATGCCATTCCCTTTTGTTTTAATGAAACCACTATTGGACTATGAACACATGAAGCTATATATTGGCATTCTGATAGTGCTGCCTTTTTCATGGATCCAGTCAGAGTAGTTCTAATCAGCAGAGCTGCATCAAAGTCGACAAATGAATTTGATTGGCACTTGGCAGTGGACAGTGAATTTATAGGGGAGGGGTGAAATCAATTAAGATCTGTTGTATTTAACAACCATACATTTCTTATAACTCGTCCTTGGCAGCATGTAAAAAGATTTCTATTTCATGACAATTTGCACTTGGCAGATAATACTTGATCAGTTGTCATGACTTGATTTTCGCTATCTTGTTTATTTGCCAGGGATGGCCAAGAAAGCCAAGCAACACGTCAAAGAGAACTAACGTACCTGGTCTCTCATGGACGGATTGGATAGTCTCGCCCTTGCAGGAAAGAATGGCGATCTCTTCAATGACGACGACCAGAAATGAGTCGTTCCATCCACACGGATTTAAACAACAAGATTGTTACCGGGTGGATAAGCTGACGGAGAATTGGCGCCGGCAACCATTGGGTGAAGACTGCCGGCACGACCAGGGGAGGCTCGTGGGTGGAGAATTGGCGCTGGCAACCGACGCGTGAAGACTGCCGGCGCGACCATGTCGGGTGAAGACTGCCGGCACGATCAAGGGAGACTCGCGGGTGGAGAATTGGCGCCGACAACCGACGTGTGAAGACTGCCGGCGCGACCACGTCGGTTTTTTTGTTGGTGCTCGTGATCTGATCAGGGGGGTCAATGGAGAGGTTTTATTTCTTTTTTTTTTGATGCACGGGTTGCCTTTGTTGCCGCTATAGTGGACGTGATTGCCGGGTTGCCTATTTTGCCACTAATGGGACATGATTGCTGGGAAACACTGTGCGTGGTGAGGTAGAAATTGCCAGAGGCTATGGTGTCGCACGTGTACTCGTCCTGCCGGGTAGACGCGGGGTCGCACGACCTATCGTCCTGCCGGGTAGATGTTGACCGTAGGAAATTTTTAGTTGTAGAGATAGAGATTAAAGGACTGCAGAGCCGATCAATCTTGATGGCCGCCCCGCCTGGAGGAAGGGTGCGAGCGTCGATGGCATTCTGGGTGGGTGGACCTGTGGCGGCGGCGCAAGGAGAGTGAGATAAGAACTAGGTTTGTTCTGGGCTCCATCAATCGGTTTGCTAGGGACTCGGTCACGTAAGGCAATTGGCCATCGGTGGCCCATGTTGCATGTTGACGTGCGTCACGGAAAAGAAAAGGAAACTTGGAGAACAAGGAAAGAAGAGGCGGCTTACGAGTCGGATTTGTTCTGGACTTTGCATGTCGTTGTTTCGCCTCCATAAAACAATGAGAGGAGTCCATGGGATTGCATAGAAAGCAATCGGTAATTTTGAAGCTGTTCGTGACCCGGTACTTGCGATGGTTGACGGCGAACAGCGGGCAGCGCTCGAATGGGTTGGCTTCGTCCGGTGCGACGACAGAGCTTGAGAGCGGCGGGCTGTGCACAGGTGGTGCACGGTGGCGCATCTAGACAAAGGCGGCGACTCCCAAAATTTCAAACAAGTGTCTAGCACAGGGTCACACAAGGACAAGCTCGGTATGGTGCATATTCGCCAAGGTGGAGTTTGTTAGAGTTTGTGTCCAATATGTGTACGAAATATGCTACAGTTTGGACTTAAGTTGTAATTGGTAGGGGCCAGGAATAGAGCAGGCGTCGGACCGTGTACCCTTGTTGTAATCGTGCCTCGACGGACTAGTATTGAGATGTGAGGATACGTCCAATATTGATGTCATCCCGGTTTATCAAGCCGGGTGCTGGGATAATCATGGAGAAGATAAAAAAAAAAATGCTTATGCAATCTTTTGACTTTGGATTTGTTTCGTGGCATGTTAGAATTGGATAAATGTGCAAACGTCGGGTGTGATTATGGCAAGTTAAGGTGGTGGTTAAGCTGGGATTTGGGTGTATAGTTTTTTCAAGAGGTGTTTTATGCTTTGTTTTCTCTTTTCCATTTTCAGCTTTGAGTGCTGAGTACTCGCGTAATGATGCTTGATTACTGGTACCATGCAACTGTTTGTGGGTTTTGTAGGATTTACTAGTTTATATGTTCTATTATTCAGCTGTTGTAGTATCAATTAGGCGCCCAGAGGGCTACATAGCATGATCTCGTAATATACTAATGAAATAGTTTCATCGCGCGCTCAGAGTTTCAAACATGCGCCTTTGCTTTGAAAAAAAGGTGCTTTCAGCACATCACATAATCAAGCAAATACTACATACAGCAGTAGTCAAAAGTGGCAACAGTCAAATGGTTTGTGCATTGTTTCTCGTTGAGACAGAAGCAAGCAATTAGGACTTCATGAGACCACATCATCAATAGCCCCCGCCTCTTCCATAACCCTAGTCGAACTGCCGCCTCTTCCGTAACTCTAGTAGAACCCGCACCTCTTCTGGGAGAAGGGAAACATCATCAGCTCTGCTTGAACAATTAGCTAGCTCAACTTGACATCTCAATTTGAACAGAGGTCATAGCGTCAGAGGAATACTTATTTGCAAAGGAGCACCACTAGTGACCTATGGAGGAAGACCTGTTGTTCCATTTGATTTGTAACTCCCGCATTGGAACTTGCAGGACCCGAGACAACACTTGGGACTGAAAAGAGGAGAGAGAGACACCATAAGCTCGGCTTAAACAATCAGCTCAAGTTGACAGTTCAATTCCAAGCCAGAGGTATACCTATTGTTGAAGGAGTCGAAGTAGGAAGTCAAAGTAGGAAATTATGGAGGAGGAACATGCTCAATTTAAGGAAGCAGAGCAGGAGCTGGTAATTGGTTGTCTGCAGCTAGAACGAGAGCAGGAACTGAGGAACATCAACTCTACTTTGCTGAAATTGAACAAAGGCCAAAACATCATCAAAGACATACCTCTTTCCAGTACTAGAGCAAGACCACAAACTGGTGGGGGTGGAGGCTGTACAACTTGATGGTGTGCTTGGCTATCATCCTGACCATGGGCTGCACCTGAAAAGAGAATAGAAACATCAGCTCAACTAGATAGCCTCGAATTGGATATAGGGTTATAGAAGGTGGATGGTCATACCAGATGGTGAAGGAGGGGGAGGCATCATTGCCTACATGCATAGTTGATCCAGAGCATCAATCATGTTGTTGATCTGGGTGTACTGATTTAGAAACTGCGGCTCCAGAAGCAGCAGGTAGTCGGCACTTTCAACAGCTGTCCTCATGCTCTGAAGCTTTTAAAAAAATTAAGAAAAAAAAATCAAATGCCCTGACTACCCACTTCAATTAGTGCGGTGAAAACACACACATATAAATACCTCTTCTCAAACAAATTCGGCCTCAATTATTTTCTCAGCCTCAATTATTTTCTCAGAAGATGTCATAAAGGAAGCATTGACTCGAGAAATAGCTGGAATCGACAAGAAAACATCCGGTTCATTCAGCACCAATGATGTTTTAAATAGCGGTCTATGATATTTAGTTGCGACCTTCTTCCAAAGCTATAGAAAGATATTGGGGGCTATAACATAAGCTATTCATTTTGCAGCTTTATATAAACATGAAAATTCTTAAATGAATTATGCACAAAAGCATTTAACTAACATAAATTTTATGAACACAAATACTCAAATACATATAGAATATCTTGGAGAATATGTTTCCAAGTCTCTTATGTTGGAACTGGCGGTTCTAAACAAGAGAGAGATAGGGAGGAGAGAGTTCAGCGGTGGAGAGGGGGTTTTGAACAAGTGGAAATTAGTGGGAGGTGTGGTCTCATGCCCTTGGACACTTATATAGGCAATGATTATTTATTAGTGACCTCTTAGTGGGGTTGGATTTCTTTTTTTTTACCAGGGGTGGGGGTTGGATTCAAATGACAGTAGTCTAGCTACTAGTTGGGCCTCTTTTAGGAGAAGAATTGACCCATATACCTCATGGGCTCTCCAACATCGCTCCAGGCAAACACTTCAGCAGGAAGGGTTTCGCTAACACTTCAACAACTACAACTCACCCACACCAACACTTCAATGCAATGGGCCTATCATCTTCGGCGACAGCAATGACTAACCTTTGACGTCAATAGCTAGAGGGGCTTCTCCGACATCTCTGACGTCAACGCTTACAACATTTTATCTTCGTCAATATCTTCAACGACTATAGCAACTTGCCTCCGCCAAAACTTCTGCATGAGGGGCTTCGCTGACATCTTCGGCATCTACACCAACATCGCCTTTGTTAACACCTTTGACACCAGGGCCTTCGCCAACATCTTTAGCATCCACAACGACTCGCCTCTGCTAACACTTTGGCATGAGGGGATTCGTCAACATCTTCAGTGACTACAACAACTCATCTCCACCAACACTTAGTCAAGGAGGGGTTTTCCTATCAGCTTTGGCCACTACAACGGCTCGAAAGCCTTTGTTGACACCTTTGGCATCAATGTTTACAATGACTAGCCTTCATCGCTGAGTTCAAGGGGCCACATCAACTCCTTTGGCACCGAGGACTACTTCACCTTCCTCGACCACTTTGGCTCGAGGGGCTCATTGACGACTTCAGTTTTTCCACTGGAGGCTGCGCTGACTGTTAAAGCCAAACTAGACCCCTTCAGCAAACAAGGACATCAACTTGAATATGCAACCAAGCAAGGTAATTTACACTATTTTGTATGGTCCAAATTTAGCTGCAGTTCAGATTAATTCCGTTGGGGTTTAGGAGGGGGAAGACCTTGCTAATTCCTTTGCCCCCCCTGAAATTGTCATTGTTAAATGTGTTACTAACTCTGGCAGCCTACTACAAATGTCGCCATCAAGTTATTTTGGCTTAAGATTTTTTTTTTTTGTTTTTTTTGGCAGCCATGATGCGCTGGAGGTCTCAGGAGTCTCACCGATGTACTGCTCATGCAGGGAATGATTCAAAGAGGCCTCGAACAACCAGGAATTTTGGTGACGTAAGTCTTGGATACTGTTTTGTGTGTTCATTCTTTGGACTGCACGTGAAAAATTATGTAGAGCTATGCATAAATCGCGTGGAGCTCCGGAGTTTCATATGGAGGTTATTTCTAAGCATCCTCGCACGAGAGGCTCTCAGGTGTTCCCGACCACAAGATACACCACCAGATATGTACGAAAAATTCCAACAAAAATATGAATAAATAGATCATTCATATATTTCTTGTTTTTGTTTGATTTTCCTTCATGGCTGGCGGCTTTGCATTGGTATCTTCAGTTCTTGGCAGAACATTTCAGAAGATACCACTCCAAATCAAAAATTGTCAAGTTTATCTGGGATTAGGAGTGCTAGAGGTGAAAGATTTTAAGGACACGGATTCTGATTTTTTTAATTGCACATATTTTCGTTTTCCTGGACTAAGGGGTTCCTCTTGCAAGATGTCGGTTGTCAGTTAATTAGCTGAACATGTTCCCTCTTAAAAAAAACAGAAAAGAAAAGCTGAACATGTATGATTGCGATGAACAAGAAAACTCCAGTGTGGCCACACGTTGACCCTGTACAGATGTTGAGGTGCCATGCCATGGTGCAGCCACCACAGACTGAACCTATAAAAGGGCAATTCAAACTCCAAGGAACTGACTCCAGAAGTTCATGACTAATCGACAATTCCTCCTGGCTGGTACACACAATAGCCTTGCCTTGGCTCCATGAGTTAGTTCATGCCTTCATGGTGACGATGACGGCACGGGACGCACGCTGCTTGCTCCCCTGGCTTCTGCTTGTCAGTTGTCATGGCAGCTCTACAGCCTGTTGCCTTGTTGGTTTCAGCCAGGACTTATCAGCCAGCTAACAGTGTTTTTCTCTCACAACAAACCAGCATCAGCCGAATTTATCAGTTCAGAAACCAAACAGCGAACAGACTCCTGGTCTAGGACAGCGACTCGGCGGCTGAGGCAGCAGGGCGCGGGGCCGGCTGAGGAGCCGCGTCATGGCGCGTTCGATCCACGGCTGGAGGCGTGCATACATATAACAATAAACAATGCACATGGCCGGTCGGCGGTCTGCGTAATACTGTCTTAACTGTGGTCTTTGGTTGTTTTTCTTCTTGTTCTTAAGATTCAGCAGTGTCCATCAAGCTACGATCAACAACCATGCTCATAGTTTCTTTAGAAATTTAGTGTAGTCTGAAACTTCCTTTTGCTTTGGATATGCAATTTTTCAAGAGACCTACCTTTGGCTCGCCTTCAAATGATTTCAAAGGTCAGAACCAATGCTATCAGTCCTGCAAACAAATTCGGATGTCTGAAGAATGTCCTACATGCATCAGCTTGAGTACAGAAATATGCATATATCTGTTCAGCTCAGTCCTAAATGCTAATCTGAATACTCTGAACATAACAATCTAATTCAAGTTTCCTGACAACAAATCCTATCGAGGGTGTGGAGAGGGTTGTGGTTAAGCATTGATTTTGACCAAGTACTGACATCTCTGAATATTTGCAGCTCCTCTACAAGTGACATCTAGTACTACAGCAGACCATCACCAAATCATGGCCAGTGTTAGATGCTAGTGGCCCTTTTGACGGATTACTGATTGGTACACCAGGAGCACGACCATAATCAGAGTCCGTAGCCATGTACCAACACAAAACCACATTTGCAGTGAACAGCTTTGTTACTGAACTGAACATCTTCTCAGACAAAAGACCTCTGAACAATTGCCGCGGTAGCGTTGTGGAATCACCCTACTTTTCTCTACTCTACCTGTTCTCTGCTCAATTCTCATCATTCAGTCACGAAATAAAAACAAAGAGCCCAACTTTCAGAACAAGTTTTTTTTTTGAAGACACAGAACGAGAAGTTTAGATACTACGTACATTGTTTGAATGCTATACCACCATCGAAGGCAGCACTTTGCCTTGTGACGATCTACCAGTGACGGTTTTTTTAAACTTTACTATATTCTGTACCAAAAATTAAAGAGATGTTCAATCGGTCACCAAACAGCTCCATTATTTAAAAGGGAAACGTAAGACAACGAGAAATGCATCGTTAGTCATCTCACTGGCTTTGCTTCGCCATACTTCATCAGTTATCTACACTAGATCATCCCATTTAGGTGCTGTTATTGCACCCAAGATCAGTGTTAGCACCGCCGGTGCGGAAGCAAGGGAACGGTACAGGAAGAATAGAATTGCGGAAGTAAATCTATTAGGAATGATTAAAAACAGAATTAGGGTTTTACATATTTCTTCCTCCATCTTTCTCACATCCCTCTTGCTACTTATACTGTGACCCTAGTTGACCCAAGATGGGCCAATCACCCTGGCACTCGGCTTCATCAGTCTCTTGGGCCGAACTGGTGATGGCTCTGTTCCAGCAGAAATGCTCCTTCGAAGCCACTAGGCTCTGGCTTGTTGACATTCCCCGGTCCTTGAGAGCCGGCATGACCCCAGTGCCGCACGTGGAAACTCAACGGCGAAGAGTGACCAGCGGCTCCCAGGTAGCCAACTCTCGTGGAGTGTGAGACCACTGTATGAGACCTTGCTCCATGGGATGATCTCCGGAAGACCAGCGACGTTGTAGAATACGCAGTGGCACCTGGAAGGTCTGCAAGTCAGAAGGTAAGGCCGACGATACCTGTTGAGCTCTAGGCGACAGCTTCAGCTGGGACACATGAAACACCGGGTGTATTGAGGAAGAAGGTGGTAACTCCAATTTGTAGGCAACTGGTCCGATCTTCTCGATAATGTTGAAAGGCCCAAAGAAACGAAATGATAGTTTATGATTTGATCGGCGCAACAGAGAAGATTGAACATACGGCTGGAGCTTCAAGAACACTTTGTCACCGACTGAGAACACCCACTCTGAACGGCCCTTGTCAGCTTGACGCTTCATGCGTTCCTGAGCGCGCAACCAGTGCTGCTGGACAAGCTCCTGCATATGCCTGCGACCAGCCAGCCAAGATGCCAAATCTGGAACCGGAGGAACCGAGTCCACATCCAAACCCATGTGTCGTGGAGGAAAGCCATACAGGACCTCGA